TGGTAGGTTGAGCTTGGGTTGAATTGCATTCATGGGTAGATTAAGACTGGCTGAGTTTGGATTTTGGGTAAATTGAAACTAGGTTGAGTTGGGGTCTTGGGTAGGTTAGGGTTGAGTTGACTTGAGCTCATTGGTAGGTTGATGTTGGGTTCAGGTGAGTTCATGGGTAGGTTAGGACTGGCTGAGGTTGGGTTTTGGGTAGCTTGAGGTTGGGTTTTGGGTAGCTTGAGGTTGGGTTTTGGGTAGTGTGAGGTTGGTCACTGGGATGATGTAGGATGGGTTGGGTCAAGGGATTGGTCATGGATGGGTTGGGTAGGGCAGCTCCAGCCTCAGGCCTGTGGTTGGACTAGACGTGACCCCTGGAGGACCTGCCCCCCAGCCCCACCTCTCTTTGATTCATCTCCACTCTTCTCTCCCAGAGCTCGCCCAATCCCGACCCAATTGACAGCAATGCCTGGGGGCTGTGGAACATAGTCCTGGCACTGGGCCCCACCCAGACTGGGCCCATAGCGCAGCTGGTACTGGTACTCCACCTTGCCATGCTTCAGGTAGCAGGTCTTTTGCTGGGAGGCTCCAGCCACTACAGGTTCATCACAGGTCCCCAGGAGGTCATCGCTTTTCCAGCCGTCGTCATCCCACACCTGCACTCACAACTTGGAGCCCACGGGGACTGTCCTGGCTCCAGAAACCAGGCGGGTGTTCCAGACGAGGTTGTTGTTGTTGTTGTTCACGGTGCTGGCTTGCATCCACCTTCCACTGTAGAAGACCTTGATGTAGCCGTCCGTCTGGGTGAAGGTGTCTCCCCACAGACCATAGCTGCGGCTGGATGGTGACCTTCAGCTTGCCCAGGCCCCAGTGCTTGGAGCAACACATGGTGTTGGCCACATCATCCCCGGGGCAGACACAGAAGCAGGGGTCCCGGATGCTACATCGGGTGCCCGGTGGGCACGGCTTGGTGCAGTTCCTCCACAAGACCCGGTCACGGATGTACTTGCTCACTGCTCACTGGAGAGCCTCCCTCCTTGGGTCCTCCTTGTTGACCAAGAAGTGGAGGGGTGCCAGGGCATAGGAGAGCAGGTCGGGGTGGGCTTTGATGCTTTCCAGCCAGCTGCTGTAGCCCGTGGCATTTTGCCAATTGGCAAAGACCAAGTCGATGTGGTTGTAGCCACCAACGACCTCGGTGTCACGCTCGTGGAAGCTCGTCTTGAGTTTCTGCTTGTTTTGCTGCTGCTGGCACATCTTGGCAGCCAATTCGGCTCTGCTCATCTTGGCTGCGATGCTCATGGTTGCTTCCATGTTCATGCAGTCCTTGACATTGTCGTCAGTCAGCCCATCCAGAGCCGCCTTCCAGGTCCAAATGGCTGTGATGTCCCGGATTCGGGCCCCCAGGTGGACCTGGGTGAGGTAGTGGGTTCTGTATGTGGCGATGAACTGGTGGTACTCAAGTTGTGAGGCCAGGGTGTAGCTCCGGGGCAGGTCCCTCATGGCCCGGGTGAAGCGAGGAGAGAGTGGGGGACTGTCGATGATGCAGACCCTGGTGGGGGAGGGAAAAGGAGAGCTGCCATCTTGTGAGGGCATGGGTACAGGGCAACTGTTGGAGGGGGGCATGTCAACCCAACCTCAACTTACCTATCATCTCAACCCAGCTTGACTTCAGCTCAACCCAGGACAGCTCAACCCCAACTCCAACCAACTCATGACCTCAGCTCAATCCGATCTCAACCTACCCACCACCTCCACCCCACCCAGCCATGACCTCCAACCTCCCCTTGACCTCCCTGCCCTGGATTGTCTCACTGGTAGTACTGGCAGGAGACCTCGTGGGTGGTGAAAGTGTACTTGTCCTCCTGGGCCTTGCCTGCACTGAATTTGGTCATCTGGGAGTGGGACCCAGCCAGTGCCACCTGTGGCCTGACCTCGGAAAGGAAGCCCATTCTCCCAAATGTAGACCCTCCCTTTGTCTTGGGGAAGGCACGTGCACACAGGCAGGGGCTCAGGTACCATAATGTCCCATCTACCGCATCCCCCTGCCCATCTTGGGGCCCTGAGGCAGGTAAGAGATGTGGGTACCATTATTTCCTGCCTCTCTCTTCCCCCGCTTAAAAGTAGGTACCATGGCACCCCGCAAATAAAGACCCACGCCTTGTTTTGGCAAAGGCATACGCACAGGTACCGTAAGATCCTGTCTACCACAGGTGTAAAATAAGGTACTGCATTTTCCAGTCTATGACATCCCCAAAATTAAGACCCACCCCCTTGTTTTGGGGAAGGCAGGGGGTCCAGGCCTCCCTGCAATAATGTTAGCCACCATATTTTCCTGTCTATAAGGCCTCCTAAATTGAGACCCGCGCCTTGCTTTGGGGAAGGGATGAGAGAGGGAGCCTGTGGCGTCCAGGGCTGAGAGTCCAACCCCCGAGGGTCCTTATAGAGGCCTGTAGGACCAGAGGGGGGGATGTGAGGTCTCTGGCCCAGCCCCTAGTACACATGGTGCAAGGGACTCAGGCCATGTCCTCCGCTTCTCTCTGCCTCTCTTTTGGGCTGTGCGAGTGTGATTGTGGGGTAGGATGTGTGGTCAACTGACACCAAAAGGAAATGGGTGTCAAAAGCTGGGGCTAGGAGTGGAACTGTGAGATGTGGGGGGAAGTTTGCACTCAGCCGCTGCAGAAAGGTTTATCTGCCCCCCCCCCTTCCCCCCGAGCCTGGCTGGTGCCCCTCACTCCTGACCCACAACCTCCCCACAACCCCCTGCCGCACTGATCGTATTCCTCACTCCCGATCCACAACCCCGCCGATCCCCCTCGCTCCCGACCTGCACCAGCAGCAATGCCCCTCACCTTTGACATGCAGCCCTCCCACCTACCCCCCAGCCTGGGGGTCCCTCCATTTTGTGTGTGATTTTTATACCCGAAGTGCCTTACAGCGGGGAAGGGGAAGGACTGCTGAACGGAGAGATGGATCAAAGACTGGACAGATGGACGGGGTATGAAAGCGGGTGAGGGGATGGAGGGAGAGAAACGAGGCACATGGATAGATGTGGGCAGGTGGGTAAAGGAAAAGTAAAGGAGGTCAACAGCGATGGAGGGAGGAGCACAGGGGCTTTGTGGGAAAGGATGGAGGGACAGATCCACATGCTTTTAGGGCAGACAGAGACACTGAGGGATCAGGGGGATGGCTGGGGGCAGTCCTGGCCCCGTGGCCCGGGCTCCTGGGTCCGCATTCACCTCTCAGGTCCCAGGGCTGCCTCTCGGCTGTGGCGATGCTCTGAGTGAGGTGTGGGGGTGGGGGGGAGAAGAGCCACAATAAACCATGTCCTGCCCCCCCAGCCCCACCACAGCTGCGTCAGAGGTGCCAGCACCAACGTCTGGGTGAGGCTGAGGGGGGTTGTGGTTACAGCAATGCTTCCTGCCCGGAGCAGCTGGGCCTTGACGCTTGTTCTCTGGTCTGCACCCACCAGGAGCAAATACGCACCCCATGCCTCTACCTCAGAGGTATTCGTTGCACACCAGCGAGCCTGGGACTAACAACCCACCATGGCTCTGAGCTACTTCTGGCCTGATTGGTCAGTCGCCTTTTTACTCAGTTCTCAAAGCGTGCAAATGAGTGCCTCATCCATCACTTTTATTGACTCATCACAGACTGGATAACACAATTCCTCCCCCTCCGGAGGCATCACAACACTTCTAGCCTCTCATTAGCTGGCTGAAGATTTGCAGAGTCCTATGGGATGATAGACCCATCATTTCCCCTCCCCCTTCCCCCATTTTCCACACCCTAGTTTCACTAAGAGCCAGGCTGTGCTGTTGGGGGTCATGGAGCGATGGTTAGATGGATGTGGACTGGGAGAGGGGCTTTGAGGTGCGGGGTCTGGCTTCTTCCTGGCATGCAACCAGGGCATCGTCAGGGCTGGTCCGTCTCATTGTTGTGGGCCATTGATGTGCTGTCGGTGGGGGGAGTCTTGGGAGCTGTGGTGTCGATGAGTCTTGGCCCAGGGGTAAAGATTTGGCCAGGTTTATTGCCTACAAGTGCAGCCCCAACACGTATATCACACCAGGAGTGAGGGTGCCCGCACCTGTGAGAAGGTTATCAGTGAAGAACCACGCCAGCTCCCCTGGACCGCTACATCGTCCCTCAGCTTTCTGACCCTCCAATCAGGGCAAATTATGTGTTGGATGTACCTTGGAGGTCTCAAACTGTCTTGTTGCACCTCCTGCCTTGGCTGTTCTCATTCCAGCTTCCTCGTCCTGGGCCTGGACTCTGCTCCCTTCTCCATCTTCTCTTCCTCCGGCCAGCCAAGCTTTGTTTCTGGGAGGAACTGGTGCATCCATCAGCTTTGTGTGTGAGGCCTACTTATGCTCATGCTCTTGCAAAGCCTTTGTGGGAGCTGCATATACTGATCAGTGCTCCAGCGAAGCCTGCAAAGGTCATGGGGTTGGCTGGGGTTGAGTTGACCAAGGGCATTGGTAGGTTGAGTTGGGGTCTTGGGTTGAGTTCGGTTGATGTGTAGGTTTGGGTTGAGCTGACTTGAGGTCATTGGTAGGTTGAAGTTCAGCTGAGTTGAGGTCTTGCGTAGGTTGAGACTGGGTTGATTGGTCTCTTGGGCAGTTTGAAACTGGCTTGAGTTGGGGTCTTGCGTACGTTGGGTTGAGTTGACGAGGTATTTTGGTGGGTTGGGGTTGGGGTTGAGGTTGGGTTGAGCTGGGCTCATGGGTAGGCTGGGGTTTTGCATTGCATTGGGTTTGGGTTCTCTACATCACACGTTATCTACAGCTATGGGATGTCCACTGCTGTGGTCTCCGGCTTCATAGGTGCCCAATTTGGGTGTGGGGCCTTCTCGTTGACTAGCGTGGCCAAGAGGTTGGCCAATGGATCAGTCTGGGATGGGTTGTGATAAGCTTGACTAGTTTAGCTAACTGGTTGAACAGTGGATGGGTGGTGTCAAGAGATTGGCTAATGGATTGGTCTGGGGTAGGTTGGGTCAAGGGGTTGGTCAACAGCTGGGTTCAGTTGTTTCTGCCTCTGGCCAGCAGTTGGACTAGAGGTGACCCCCGGAGGTCCTTTCCAGCCCCACCTCTATTTGATTCATCTCCATTCTTCTCTCCCACAGCTCGCCCAATCCAGGTCCAGTTAACAGCAATGCCAGGGGGCTGGGGGACATAGTCCTGACACTGTTCCCCCCCCAAACTGGGCCCGCGTTGCAGCTCATACTGGTACTCCAGCTTACCGTGGGTCAGGTAGCAGGTCTTTTCCTGGGAGGTGCCAGCCACTACAGGTTCATTACAGGTCCCCAGGAGGTCATCATCCCACCCAAAGTCCTTGTCCCACACCTGTACCTTCGGCTTGGAGGCCTCAGTGACCTTCACGGGCCCAAAATCTAGGCTGATGTTCCAGACGGGGTTGTTGTTGTCCTTCACGGTGCTGGTTTGAATCAACCTATCCTGGTAGAAGACCTTGATGTAGGCATCCGTCTGGGTGAAGGTATTTCCCCACAGGCCTTGGCCACATTTGATGGTGACCTCCAGCTTCCCCAGGCCCCGCTTCCGGGAGCAACACACAGTGTTGGCCACAGCATCCCCAGGGCAGAGACAGGAGCAGGGGTCCTTGGTGCTACGATGCGTGCCCGGTGGGCATGGCTGGGTGCAGTTCCTCCACAAGGCCTGGTCACGGATGTACTCACTCACTGCTTGCTGGAGAGCCCATCTCCTTGGATCCTGCTTCTTAACCAAGACGTGGAGAGGTGCCAGGGAGTAGGAGACCAAGCCAGGGTTGACTTTGAGGCTTTCCAGCCAGCTGGTGTAAGCACTGGCATCCCGCCTGTTGGAAAAGAGCAAGTCCGTGTGCTTGTGGCCACCAACGACCTCAGTGTAACACTCATGGTAGGCCTCATGGAAGCTTGTCTTGAGGTTCTCCTTCTGACGCTGATCCTGGCACACCCTGGCAGTGGGCTCGAGCTTCCCTCTTCCCTTCCCGATGCTCATGGCCACTTCCACATTCAAGCAGTCCATGACCTCATCAGCTGTCAGCCCATCCAGTGCCGTCTGACAGGTCTTAACAGCTGTGACATCCCGGATGCGGCCCCCCCAGGTGGACCTGGTTGAGGTAGTGGGTGCCATAGGCGGCGATGAACTGGTGGTATTCGGGGCGCGAGGCTGGGGTGTAGTCCTCGGGGAGGTCCCTCACAGCCCGGGTGAAGTGATGGGAGAGCAGGGGATTGTCTATGATGCGGAACCTGGTGGGGGAGGGAAAGGGGGAGCTGCCATCTTGTGAGGACGCAGGGATAAGGTATCTGACTGCTGGGGGCATGTAGCCCCAACCATGACCTCAGCCCTACCTCATCCTACCTGTGATCTCAACCAACCCATGACCTCAACCCAACCGAGCCTCAACCTACCCAGGACCCCAACTCAACTCAGTTCAACCCCAAGCAACCTGTGACCGCCCCGCCCCACCCCCAACTCAATCCAACCTAGAACTACCCATGTCTTCATCTTAACCAGAACCCAACCTACCCATGATCTCAGCTGAACTCAACCCAAACCAACCCATGACCCCAATCTAAACCTACCAATGATTCCCAACTCAACCCAACCAGCTCATGATCCCAACTCAACCCAGCCTCAACTCAACCCATGACCCTAACCTAAACTTACTGATGACTGCCATCTCAACCTGACCTCAACCTACCCATGACCTCAACTTAACCCCAAGCCACCCATGATCTCAACTCAGCTCAACTCCAATCAGCCTGTGACCCCAGCCTAAACATACCCAGAACCTCAACCCAACTTGGCTCAATCCCAATTAATCCATGACCCAACCTCAACCTACCAATGACCTCAACTCATCTGGACTCAAACCAACCTATGACCCCAAATCAAGCATTCCTCAACCTACCGGGGACTCCAATCCCAACCCCACCCAACCTCAGCCTATACACCATCCCAAGACGATCCAGATCTATCCCTGGCCCTAGCCCTGACCTCAAGCCAAATGTACCTGTGACCCCAGTTCAAACCCCAGCCTACCCATTAACACTAGCCATGACCTCTGATGTGCCCCCCAACCTCTCTGCCCTGGATCACCTTACCAGTAGTACTGGCAGAAGACCTCATGACTGGCGAAGGAGTACTTGTCCTGCCGGGCCTTGTCCATGCTGAATATAGCCGTCTTGGAGCGGGACCCAGCCAGTGCCACCTGTGTGTGTGCCTGTAAAGGGATGGCCACCTGGAGCCCCACCCACCAGTCATTTTCCACAGCCTTGCTGGCCTCTTGGACTACCTCCACAGCTGAGTAGCGCAAGTAGCTGGCCACCCTCTTCTGGCATGAGCCATGCACTTTCCAATCATCCAAAAGCCACGGGGAGGCGCTGGAGACTCCTGTTCTGGAGCGTATTGATGCACAGGGTGCAGGTCCCACTTTGCCTCTCCCACCGCCCGGCATCCACCACGTAGGCACCCTTCTGGGCCAGAGTGGTGATGTCAAAGCCTTCCCCCACCAGGCCGTGGCCAGGCACGAAGGCCGTGTGCTCCTTGCACTCCTTCACCATTGCCTGGCGGCAGTAGCAGGCCGTCATGGGCAGGACGAGAAGGAAGAGGAGGAGGATGAAGACTCCGGGACGGGGCATGGTGGGAACAGTGTAGTCCTTTATCTCAGAAGAGGACAGAGTCGTTGGCCCTGGCTGCCCCCTGGGTAAGTAACAGATGCAGGTACTGTATTTTCCCATCTCCTACACCCCTAAAATAAGGTACTGTATTTCCCTGTCTATCATGTCTCCCACATTAAGACCCACCCCTTGTTTGGGGAAGTGAATTGGAGGCCTTCAGAGCTGAGAATCTCACCCTAAAGGTCTGTCTAGAGGCCCGTGGGCCTATTGGAGGGGATGTGAAGCCACCTAAGCTGGTCCCCCCCCCTGCCATGTCCTGGCCCCTCCCTGCCCCAAGGACCCAGGAGTCCTGGTCCCTCCCCTCCCCCAAGATAGCTCCTCCCCAGGGGGTTCTCACAGTGTGGGGGGCTCAGGTCGTGGTCTCTGCCTCCCTCTCGTGGCTGTACGAGCGCGTCTGTGGTGCAGGTCAAACCAGAAGCTAACTGGTGTCAGAAGCCGTGGCGGGGGGTGGAACTGTGAGACGGGGGCGGAGGGGTGGAGTTTCCACAACCCCCCACAGCGGTGCCCCCCAATCCCACCCTGCACCCCCCCCATAGTGGTGCCCCCCACTCCTGACCTGCACCCCCCCACAGCGGTGCCCCCCACTCCTGACTGCAGCCCCCCATAGTGGTGCCCCCCACTCCCGACTGCAGCCCCCATAGCAGTGCCCCTCACTCCCGACCTGCACTCCACAGCAGTGCCCCCCACTCCCGACCCACAGCCCTTCTCACTATTCCTACAGCCCAGGAGTCCTTCCATTTTGTATATTATTTGTATGCTGGAGGTGCCTTATGGTGGGGAAGGCAGGGAGGCAAAGCACACGGACACATGGATGGGTGGGTAGAGCACAAGAGGGAGGTAAGGGGCACTGGGTGGATGGATAAGTAGAAAGGGAGATGGATGGATGGATGGAGGCCTGGAGAGAGACAGCTGGGTGGACAGCAGAGTGGGTGGAGGGATGGATGGAGGGGTGGAGGTGGGTGGCATGGCAGGGCATTTCGCATGCCTGTCCCTTTGAGAAGCTGTGGCAGGTGTGGGCCATCAGCTTCCCCACATGGGCCCCCAGGTGTTGTCCCAGGTCCTGAGAAAAGCCCTTGAGTAACACCTGAGGGATGCTGGGAAAGCCTGACCTCTGCGGCTGTGGCTGCAGAGGGTCACAGCCAAGGGTGACCCCTGATGCAGCCTCGAGGTCAGGGGAGGAGCTCAGGGGAGGAACAGGTTTGTGGGGACGGAGGGGTGCAGAGCCCAGCGAGAGGCTGTGAGGGGGTCCTGGCCCCCTGGGCGGGTGCAAACCTAAGTGGAGGAGAACACAGACAAGGAGCCATCGGTGAGGCCAGGGGCATGGTGTAGGGGTGTGGCAGAGCCCATAGGGCAAAGACCATGATGTGCAGAGCTGGGGGGGCACAGGGATGGGCGCAAGGGTCTGTGGGAAGGCCGGGGGGAGGGTCGGCAGGCAGAGAGGCCGAGGGGCTGGGAACAGATCTGGCCCCGTGCCCGGACTCCTGGGTCCACGCTCCTCTCTCAGCCACGGCAGCTCTGAGCACGGAGGTTTGGTGGGGCGGCACAATAGGAAGTGTCCGAGACACTGTCCCGGGCCACCGGCGACACAACACGC